ACGGAGTCAACTTGGTGCGTGGAGCCACATTCCTTTAGGCCCGGATGGCAAATTTCGCTTGGTGAACTTCGTCAAGCAATTCGTTGCAAATCTCGGGATGAGCCTGAAAGCTTACGCTTCGCTGGATGGCCAGAGGTTGGTTCACTACCAGTGCGCAGTCAGGCGTGACGAGTGGGAGCGCATCCGAGAGGAATTCCTTGAAGCCTTTCTGGTGCAGAAGCGCGCCTATCGCCGAGCCAACGGCGGCTCATGTGCTCCTTGCTTTGCAGTGGATGCTGAGCCTCGTTTTGCTCCAGACGATAGACGTGTGGAGGTGGCCAGCCAGATCAGATGCAGCCAGCAACAGCCAGTACAGCACAGAACGGTGGTGCGTCGCACCTTCATCGAGCTTGCAGATGACGACAGCACCGAGGATGAGTTCGTGATCATCCGAGAGAGATCCAACAGACGTGCTAAGACCTTCCCAACTCGCTGGCCTCCATCCTCGGACTCGGAATAAAAGCTGCGGCGCATCACTTTCAGACTTTCAGCTGCGTCATGTCTCACTCAACAGGAAGTGGGAGTTCCTTTTGGGACGAATTCGTTGGTCGACATGACAATCAGGCGGAAATGTTGTCAGAAGGCCCTTTTCCATTTGCATGGCCCGCGCTCTGGTCCATGTACAGCTGCCACTTGTGCGGACAAGCAGCTTCCAGCCGCTGCAGATGTACAAGAAGACTGGGTGCAACAAGACGGTTCGACTTGGGGCGGACATTTTGTGTCATGCCATCATCCAATCCCAGTAAGTGCACGCCAAAGGGTCGGCACAGGGATGGTGGTGGCAAGGACGTTCCTGCATTTTCTTGATTCGGCTGGTGGACATTCACAGTATCAGTTGCTGCGTCTATCGGCTGGAGCAGGCATGCAGTGTTGCAGTGCCCTGCTGATTCGAAAGCTCGTCCGACGAGAAACGAAGACAACCGCATCTTGCCTCGGGTTAGTCTTGGTACACAGCAGCAGTTGCAACGTTTGCATGGTCTCTTGAGTAGCCATCAAATCTCAAGTGCCGCGAGCGCATGTACAGGCATAGAGCTGCTCTCGCCTGCAAGCAGCCATGACGGTGGAGTGTCCCAGGGATGTGATGCAGTGGTTCGAGTCGGTGCCCCGCTTGCTAACGGAGCAGGAGTGGGAGGTGCGCGAACGTGCTGGGCTGTCAGGCCTGTATCACTGCCACTGCCCGTGGGGTGGTCACTTTCTCTGTCTCTGCACAAAAGTTCGACCAGTGGATGTCAACTCACCACCTCTGGCATAGCCCTTCGGGCCGCGACGCAGTTCTTGAACCGGCCAGGGATCAGCGACTTGCGTGCCCTGGACGCGAACATGTACACCGTCCTTAGCATCCACAGCTGCAAGCGAGGGCCCCCGCTGGTGGCACTGGCATCTGGCTCGGTTCGTAAAGCCTGTGCGGTTATCAGGCCAAATGGGTGTAGTCATCTGAGCCATCGGTGCTCTTGGACGCGAATGTCATTCGGTGAGGAAGACAGGTTTCGGTTGGCTAAATTCATCAAGCAATTCGCGTTGAATCTGGGGTTGAGCCTCGATCCGTACAATTCTCTGGATGGCCGGAGCCTGGTTCACTACCAGTGTGTGGTGGGGCGTGACGAGTGGGAGCGCCTCGGAGAACATATCGTCGAAGCCTTCCTGGCGCAGAAGCGTGCCATAGCGTGCCTATCGCCGAGCCAACGGCGGAGCGAGCGCCCCGTGCCTCACAGAAGATGGCGAGCCTCGGTTTGCTCCAGATGAGAGGCGGGTGGAGCTGGCGAAGCACATTCTTGTCCAGCTGCACTCGCTGCATCTCTACAACATGACTGTCAAATTCACAATTCTGCTTCAGACCGAAGGTCGCACAGAGGTCATGGTGGTGACGGTGAAACTGCTGGTCCACGGTCGTAAACGTCCTGTGCCCGTTTTCGCTCGTCCCGTTTTTGCCTCATGGACTGCCGGATGGCACAGCATAGTTGCTGTGGCTGCAGGCAGGCAGACGATTGTGTTTGAAAGGTGGGCCATCTGCTGCAGTTGAAACCTGCATTCTGCTTTGACATGTGGTTGCGCAAAGAAAAATCTGGAATACATCGCGACAGTCAGTTCAGATTCACCCAGGACGACATCGAAGCCGAGAACGAGGAGTTGAAGGCCACATGGACATGCATCGACCTATGCCGAAGTTGATTTGTCTTCATGGTGAGCTGTGATCGGAGCAAGGCTGAAAGGGCTGATTCTCGGATTTTCGGCAACAGGAGGTAATGCTTGTCCGTGGCTGCCTCAAGGAGCACGTGCTCCACTTGGAGGAGCGCTTGAAGCAGGCCGCCCACGGACTTTACACCACAATCATTCGGCTGCAGCAGACTCCTGCATAGCACGGCTCGGCTGCGTCAGAGTAGTGGTACGGTGGTGATGTCCGGCCAATGCATCATGAGGTGAAGTTGGAGGCTCATCGCCTGCAGCTGCAGGTGCAGGCAGGACAAAATTCAAGTCTGTATGCGAATCCTTGAGTATCCCAGCTTCTCCGAGCGAAACAAGGATGACGTTCGAGTTCAAAGCAGCTACAAGGACGCCCTCGTACACGTCCGGCGCTTGGTGCCATCGGAACAATGAATGCAGAGCTTGCAGAGTCTGCAAGCTTCAATGAGGGAAGGACGAAAGAGAGGACACGGCTCGAATTCGTCCTATGACTGAGGGAGCACGCTTCGAAATTAAGCTGCATCACAGCACATGTCTCAGCAATCGTTACCCTCGTCGATATCGCCAAAAGCATTTGTGAACACTGCCATCGCCACCGCCACTGCCACTGCCACTACCACTACAACTAC